CAAAGTAAATATGTTTTTCACAATGGAAGCTGAAGGAAGATTACCTATTTGTTTTAAAGATTTAAATATATAAAGTTTTATTTCCTAACAAAAAACAAACAGTAATACTAAGTGAATTTAAAGTAATGTACATACTGATTTCACAGTTGTTTCCTTGAAATCCAGGTTGACAAAAACAGGAGTAACTGTTAATCCCATCCCAGCAGAAACCATTATTCAGACACGGGTTAGGGTCGCAATCATTAATATCTGTTTTAATATTTAAGAAGAAAAAAAAAACACTTTTTAGAAGGATAAATAGCTTCAGTAATAGTGAACTATGGAACCATTTCTTGAAAAAGCATGTTCAAAGGTCACTTTTCCAATTACAATCAGGAAATGTGTATTTATAAGATATTATGGAGGAGTAAAAAGATGTACTGTAGATGTGACAAGGGTTTTCTTACTTATTTCACAAAATGTTCCATCAAATCCTGTTGGACAGGTACAACTGAAGTCATTCACCAAGTCAACACACATGGTTATAATATATGCATAATATTTTTCTACACTGATGTCTAATAAAAAATAGAACCTAGACATGGGATAGTGTGGCCTAGTGAAGTAATAATTGAAAGACTGACTGTTACAGGAATCAAATACAGTTAGCATAGTACATAGAACAGTGCAGTGGCAGCTCTAGGATACAATTTATAGAGATGGCTAAGATGTCCGACTAGGGGCACTAAGTATTTATGGGTGTAAGTATAGCTTGCAGCGTTATCCGAGGGCCAAAGGCCCAAGCAGGGGTTGGGTCTCCCAAATTGACATTTCTTTTTTTAAATTGGGACTTCTAGATGGTTGTCAATGGTCGAATCACCATTGTTATGTTCTGCTTGACTGATCAGACCCAGACGAAGCAATTGCTGAGACAGATTTGGCTTGGCGTAGGCAGCAGAGTACTGGGATGGGAAAACTAGGCCTATTTCATTTTTTTATTTATTTTTTTATAAGACCGATGGGGAGGCTTAAGTCCCCCTCCCTCCGCTATCGCCGCACCTGCATCAATGTACACAATGGACACAGCTTATCCTTGTCAACACCTAAAATATGTCGAAAAAAATGAATAGTGGTCACTGTGTGAAGAAACTCAGGAGTAATATAACACTGAATATTACGAAGTTGGCCCAGCGTATTCATAAAATAAACAATTGGAAAAAAGTAACTGACTTACCAGTACATATTTCACAGTTAACCCCTTCGTAGCCAGCAGGACATTTACAAGAATAACCATTAACCAGATCAAAGCACACACCCTGATTTTGACAGGGAGTGCTATCACATTCATTATTATCTTGAAAAAATGATAAAATTAATATTACATTCATTAATATTTCATTCATAATATACTGATTCATGAATTAATTTTATTTATTAAAAAATATTTTCTTCAAATATCAACACCATCTTTTCTTATATCATTCTTCTTCTTCTGCTGCAATACTATAATCATTACTACCGGGTAATAAAAGATTTATGTTTTGTTACACGTCAACTTGGTATTTCATTTGTTTTAATACCTATGCTGTAAAAAATTCATTAGTTTAAAAATTTATTTTTAAATTTTAAAGTATATTTTAAATTGTCATCCATTAGTTGCTGGCTGGTAGGTATGCACTGCTTCCACCCAGGCTCAGAGTCATAAGCCAATTTAAACAGTTAGAGCCAATTTAAAAAATTAACAAGCACAGGCAATATTCTACAGAAACATTATACTAATAGAAAATTTGGAGTATATCATTTTGGTTTCATGTGTCCATTGACATTTCTGTAAAATTATGCATAGACCTACAGTATGTTGCTTCATGTACTAGTATTTTATTGTTTTGACTGAATGCTATACTAAACAAGATGTCAATAAATGAATGCTTACTGTCTTCACAATCAGGACCTCTACAGCCAGGTGGACATAGACAAGTGTATCCATTCACACCATCAAGGCATGTGCCACCATTCAGACAAGGTCTACTTAAGCACCTGTCTCTTATACACATCTGGCACAGCGAAAGTCATTCACCAGGTCAACGCATGTGGCTCCATTTAAACACTGGTTAGGATCACAGTCATCAGGGTCTAAAATGCAAAGAAAACTAATTTAATTACAAGAACATAAATAAACAACAATATATGTATAATGAAAATAAGAATAGTAAATTAAGACTTTTGTCTTGAGCTATATATGTCGAGTCATTTATAAATTTTAGTTGGTTATGTAGGTTTTTGATGTTTTTAATTGTATTGTGATATACTTTTTAATGTACTAATTTTCTATTTTAACTTTTAATGTATATCACATATCGAGTATTGATCTTTTGTAAATTTATTTTGTTTAAATTCTGTACAGCGCTTGTGCTGTCTCTTATACACATCTTGATATACTTTTTAATGTACTAATTTTCTATTTTAACTTTTAATGTATATCACATATCGAGTATTGATCTTTTGTAAATTTATTTTGTTTAAATTCTGTACAGCGCTTGTGCTGTCTCTTATACACATCTTGATATACTTTTTAATGTACTAATTTTCTATTTTAACTTTTAATGTATATCACATATCGAGTATTGATCTTTTGTAAATTTATTTTGTTTAAATTCTGTACAGCGCTTGTGCTGTCTCTTATACACATCTTGATATACTTTTTAATGTACTAATTTTCTATTTTAACTTTTAATGTATATCACATATCGAGTATTGATCTTTTGTAAATTTATTTTGTTTAAATTCTGTACAGCGCTTGTGCTGTCTCTTATACACATCTTGATATACTTTTTAATGTACTAATTTTCTATTTTAACTTTTAATGTATATCACATATCGAGTATTGATCTTTTGTAAATTTATTTTGTTTAAATTCTGTACAGCGCTTGTGCTGTCTCTTATACACATCTTGATATACTTTTTAATGTACTAATTTTCTATTTTAACTTTTAATGTATATCACATATCGAGTATTGATCTTTTGTAAATTTATTTTGTTTAAATTCTGTACAGCGCTTGTGACCATTTTGATTGGATATTGTTTGCGC